TCTGCTTATGCACCCATTTTGTCTTCAGCAATCATGTCAAGAGGGTGAGCATCACAGATTGCCAGGTAATTAGAACAAAGTGTGCTTGTGTCGAGGAAGGACTTGAGTAGAGGCCTAGTGTCTGTCTGCTACCGTATTACTTAACATATAAGTATATGTACATAGACCTATATCCATATCATTGTGTATAAATATATTTACATATGTATGCACCTATATTTATACCTCTATAAATGTCTTTTGCCTCCTGTCTGACTTCTGGATTGTTGCTTCCCTGGGCATCGGTTGAGAATTAAAATGAAATTCTTGACAACTTCAATGATTTCTCCATCTATCATGATGTTGTTTGTTGGTCTGGTTGTGAGGAGTTTTTGCTTCTTTAGGTTGTGGTATAGTCCATACTGGAGGCTATATTCTTTTATCGTCATCAGTAAATGCTTCAGGCAAGATTTGCCATCTGTAGGATGCAGGTTGTTCATGAGCTTTCCTCTGATCCTGACGCTGCATTCTTTTCTACGTCATCCAGTTTCTTGGATTTTGTTCAGCATACAGATTGAACAAGTACAGTGAAAGGATACAACCTTGATCTATACATTTTTTTCTAACTTTAAACCATGCAGTATCTCCTGGTTCAGTTTGATCAACTGCCTCTTGCTCTATAAAGGTTCTGCTTGAGCACAAGTAAGTGTTGTGGAATTCTCCTTCTTCGAATTGTTCTCTACAATTTGTTGTGATTCCAATTAAACACAGGTAAATATCATTCTGCTATTCTCTGCTTTCAACCAAGATCCACCTGGCATCAACAATGATACCTCTCATGCCACATCCTCTTCTAAATCTGGCTTGAATTTCTGGGAGTTCCCTGATGAAATACTGTGGCAACCACTTTTTAATTGCCTCCAGAAAAAAATGTGTGTGATATTAGTGGCGTTATTCAATAATTTCCTCATTCTGTCTTTGGGATAGCACACAATTTGGATCTCTCTGGTTGGTTGGCCGGGAGCCCTCTTCCAAATGTCTTGGTATCGACAGTTGAGTTCCTCCAGGGTTGCATTCATTTGGTGACACATTTCCATTGGTATTCTTTCTAATCCTAGAAACTTGCTCCTTACCAGTGCCTTATTCATTGCTGTTTGAACTTTTTCTTTTAGCATCATCAGTTCTTGATCATATGCTACCTCCCGAAATTGTTGAATGCCAACCAATTATTTTCAGTCTAATGACCCTGTTATTAGTTCCATCTTCTTTTGAAATTTGCTTCATCATTCAGTATTTTGCCCATATAAATGTTCAATTATGCAATTCAAGGCTTGATTTCTACAATTCTTTCAGCTTGAGAGATGAAAAATGTGTTCTTCTTCTTTTATTTCTTTAACATCAGGTGCTGGCACATTTCATTATAATACTTTTATTTTTTTATTTTTGGTCTTCTTGAACTACTCTTTGAGATTTTCTGTTCGGTTCTTTTACTTCATTGTTTCTTCCATCTCCTCTAGCTGGTTGACATGCTGGGCAGGTTTCCGTCTCTTCTGACATCCATTCTGGTCTTGTCTTTTTCCCTTGTCTTTTTTAATGACGTTGTTTTCTTCCTACACGACGTCATCACACAACTTGTCTGGTCTTCTGTCTTCATTGTGTTCAATCTAGTTAATTCTTCGTTGTGTTCAATCTAGTTAACTCTTCATTGTGTTCAATCTAGTTAGCTCTTCATTGTGCTAAATCTAGTTAACTCTTCATTGTGTTAAATCTAGTTAACTCTTCATTGTGTTAAATCTAGTTAACTTCATTGTACTAAATCTAGTTAACTCTTCATTGTGTTCAATCTAGTTAACTCTTCATTGTGTTCAATCTAGTTAACTCTTCATTGTGTTAAATCTATTCATGAGATAATGTCTAAATGTCGGTGTGAAATACTCAAAATGGTATTTTACTTTCTTGGACTTGTTTTTATTTTCTTCTGCTTCGGCTAGAGCTTGCGTATGAGCAGTTGTCAGCCCCTCACCTATTCTGAGTGACCCTATGGAGTTTTCCCACTACCCCTTTTCATAGCTGTTGTTGCTTTGATTCTTGTTTATTCCACATTCAGTAAGGTTCACGTGCAGAGTCACCATTTATGCTATCAAAAAGAAAGAAAGCAAACAGTATTTGCAATGAATAAAGTGTTGGTCTTGCCATAAATCCTACCATATCGCCAAGGCCATATTCTTCACAGTTTCCAAGTTTCCCATTATAATCACCACTTGTCTGTCCGTGTATTGTACTTTGGCGGGCTGCTTGTTGCTGTGATGCTGGAAGCTATGCTCTTGGTATTTCAAGTATCATCATGGT